GGGGGGGGGGGGAGTAACAACAAGCTGCTGTTCCATGACATTCAGGAATTTGGATTCTCACCAGCCAGCTGTTACCCTCTGTGCTCTCCATTCAATTCCTTGACTCCCCCTGACTGTCCCCTCTTTCCACGATGGCAGCCTTCCTCTTTTTTCCCACTATGATGAAAATGACAACTGAGCTTGGGGGCTTTTTCAGGAGAGCTGTACTGCAGTGAGGATATAATGTTTCACTCGGTCTCAGCCACCCTCTTCCTTCTCCTTTTTGCTTTAGTTATTTCTCTCCTTGTCTCTTGCTGTGGTAACCTTTACCTTCACCCTGTGCTCACCCTAGCAACTACGACCAATCTTTTCGTCAAAATGCCAGACTCCAGTTATGGCTTAAGTGCCACGTTCTAAACTGTGGAGACTCAGGAACTGAGTAGTGAGTAGTTTATACAGTGGCACAGTATGGCAAGACAGCCACGTAGGCAAATGAAAGTGTCAGGTATTACAAACTTGCAAGAGAGATCCACAGCACTGCTAAATTCTGAACAATCAGTTCTGAATTTCAGTTCTGAACAATCCTTACAAAACTTATTTCCCTCTGACATCTGTTTCTAGAAATACAAAGCACAGGCATGTGCTACAATTGGATTTCCAGTGTCACAAAATATAATCATCTAATTTTCCTTCCAAAACAGACATGATTTCACAGTCTTGTGGGACACTGAGTTGGAAGCCTTCTTGCAGATAACACCAGTGCACATTTCACCCTACTCTTCTTAAACAATTCTCTTAATCATTTTGTGATCACACAGTCCAAAAAGAAAAGGTTCTGCATCATAAAGATGGAAGGCCAGGCTATTTTTACCAATTTTCTTGCGCTATAGCCACAGAAGTCCTGCTCACCAGCCCAGGGGGAGAGGTGTCTATTTCCAAGTGCCTCTGGGTAACAGTTCAGAACAGCCAACCACATGATTCTACTAGGAGCACAAAAGATGTCTGCGTCGAGTTTCAGGTGCCTGAAGAAATTATGGTGAGACTATTCTGGGGTCTCAAAAAGAGGACAAGCTATAGCATTTCAATGCCAATTTGAAAAGAAGAACAACGTTGATGTCATGATAACTGAACAAAAGAGTTTTCTGCGTTTTGTTGCCTTCCACAGGTTCTGCACTAGCCTCTCAAAGGATGTGGTTATCATGTGGTTACATTAGAGCCATTGTAAACTCTGTCCAAATACCTATGTGCAGCCACTATGACTTCTGGCAAAAGAAATAGCAATATAATACAAATAAGCACCGGCTAAGTTATTTTTGGATTGTAATGCAAAAGTATTTCTAAGTTCTCTACAAATATACAGAGCAATAATAAGGATATGTATTCCCATATGTGCTGAGCATTTCAGAATGTCCTGCATCTCCACAAAGAAAGCTGTTCTTAAAGCAACTTTCTCAATGTTTTTATCTTGTGAACATAAGCAATGGATGTAGACTCCACTTATAGTATTTATAGAGGACTAGTGCTCCAAGGCTTGAATTCTACATATGATTTGGGATCTGAAGGGAAAGACACATTTTCCTAAAGTTGCTGCAGAAATGACATATGCATGAAAGGTCTGTACACTTTTTAAAAAAATATATTTTGTTAGACTTAAAAAACTACCATGACAGGCTGTTACCAAGTCCCAGTTCAAAGGTTCACAAACATTTATAGCTGTGTTATTTTTGGCTGGGATAGAGTTAATTTTTATTCATAGTAGCTAGTATGGGCTATGTTTTGGATTTCTGCTGGAAACAGTGTTGATAACACAGGGATGTTTTTGCTACTGCTGAGCAGTGTTTATGCACAGTCAAGGCCTCTTCTGCTCCTCACCCCACCTCACCAGCGAGGAGGCTGGGGGTGCCCAAGGAGTTGGGAGGGGACACAGCTGGGACAGCTGACCCCAACCGACCAAAGGGATATTCCATACCGTATGATGTCATGCTCACCATATAAAACTGAGGAAGAAGAAGGAAGGGGGTGGACATTTGGAATGATGGCGTTTGTCTTCCCAAGTAACCATTATGCATGATGGAGCCCTGCTTTACTGGAAAAGGCTGAGCTGCTGCCGGCTGATGGGATGTGGTGAATGAACTCCTGCTTTTGCTTTGCTTGCATGTGAGTCTTTTGCTTTACCTATTAAACTACCTTTATCTCAGCCCATGAGTTTTCTCACTTTTACCCTTCTGATTCTCTTCCCCATCCCACCAGGGCTGAGTGAGGGAGTGGCTGTGTGGTGCTTGGTTGCCAGCTGGGGTTAAACCACGGCAGTCCTTTTTGGCACCCAGCGTGGGGCTCAAAGGGTCCAAGATAACAACAGGTTTGATTGGAATGTGCTGGACTGAATTTACAGCTGTTATTGCTGTTTAGCTATTAATTGACAGGCTCCTGTACTTGCCATGAGGCTTGCTTGCCTCGCCGTATATTAGAGTCTAGTGCTCATTAGTGGTGGCTTTTTGCTTTCGCTGCTTGCTGTAGTGCTGTACTGCTTATCATCTTCCTCTGCTGTGCCTGGGAACATTTTGATAACAGCAATGGCAATGTGCCTGGGCTGGCAGATGGCCAGGGCATTGCTGCTGCTTCTGTGCTGCTGTACTGGACAGGCAGGAATTCCAGTGCGAACTCGAGTCGAAGGATGCATCCACGTGGGAGCAGGACACCCCAAAGTGTCTGTGGTCATGATTATGTCTGTGCCACAGCAGGTATATCTCTGAAGGGATTGTAGCCTGTGGAGAAGGCCACGGTGGAACAGGTGCAGCTCAGAGGGGCTGTGGCTGTGGCTGAGTCTATGCCACAGCAGGTTCAACCCCGGAGAGATTGTGGTTCATAGATAAGTCTCCACTTGAAGCAGGTACACTCCAAGGGACTGCAGTCTGTGGATAAATCCAAGCCAAAACAGGGGCAATGGGAAGAGTTCATTGCAATGTTAAACCTGATGGTCTGGCCCAAAGGGACAAGGGATGGAAATTGTAATGGAAATACCTTTAAAGTGTTGTAATCTGGGATTTTAGTTGCATGTTATAAGAATTACTATAGCAGAAACCACTCAAAACAGTAGAGAACAAGCCTTACAAGAAGCAGTGCAAGTGCAGCATGACCCAACCTGATCTGGCTTTGGTGCCCAATAACTCCACTCAACACACCACCTCATCTGTCCTGAGTGACCACCATAACAGATGGAGCCCAAAGTCATGGTCTAAATGAACTGCATGGACATTTTGTGGGCACTGTGGACATTCATAGACATTTACAGACATTTCACAGGGATGGTTCATAGACTAAGAGAATTAAATCTGGATATCACATCAAAGGATGGGAAGGAGGATTGGTTAATGAGGATGTATTGATTAGTGTAGGACCTGAGCATGATGTAAATGGTACAGAATAAGGGGTGGAGAATGTGCTGGTTTTGGCTGGGATAGAGTTAATTTTCTTCATAGTAGCTAATATAGGCTATGTTTTGGATTTCTGCTGGAAACGGTGCCCATAACGCAGGGATGTTTTTGTTATTGCTGAGCAGTGCTTACACAGAGTCAAGCCCTTTCCTGCTCCTCACCCCAACCCACCAGCGAGGAGGCTGGGGGTGCCCAAGGAGTTGGGAGGGGACACAGCTGGGACAGCTGACCCCAACCGACCAAAGGGATATTCCATACCGTATGATGTCATGCTCACCATATAAAGCTGCAGGAAGAAGAAGGAAGGGGGTGGACATTTGGAATGATGGCGTTTGTCTTCCCAAGTAACCATTATGCATGATGGAGCCCTGCTTTACTGGAGAAGGCTGAGCTGCTGCCGGCTGATGGGAAGTGGTGAATGAACTCCTGCTTTTGCTTTGCTTGCATGTGAGTCTTTTGCTTTACCTATTAAACTATCTTTATCTCAGCCCATGAGTTTTCTCATTTTTACCCTTCTAATTTACTCCCCCATCCCACCAGGGCTGAGTGAGGGAGTGGCTGTGTGGTGCTTGGTTGCCAGATGGGGTTAAACCATGACAATAGCTTATGAAGAATGTATGAAGAATTAGCAAACATGTTCCATCAACCAATTTCTTCTGGCAATAATGAGCAGTACATAAGTAAACTGCATGCACTCATAGGGAGTTCATAGCCCCATTTCATTATTGGAGCCACAGCTCATGCTGATCACAGTGCATTGCTATTTCCCACACTTCAGCCTTCTACTGCATACACTGACTTTGGGGAAATCTTACTACCACAGGCTTTAGTGGAATTGGATTACTCATTACTCGCATGTAATTATTAACGTGAGGAGGACTGGGTTTTGAAAGTAGTTGGAATCTGATGAGTGAGAGTCTAGCCTAAAAGAGCAAGTAGTTGGAATGAAAACTGTTTCATCTCCTGAACATAACTGTCTATTGCTAGCCACAAAAAGAAAAGCTTTATTCTCTCACCACAATTTTAATCTCTCTTTACAAGTTTCTTTTATTTGCTGTACTTGTGTATTATGTTTTGCATATATCACCTTTTTCTTATTTTCCTTTTGCAAACTCGGGATGACTTGCAAGTGCTCTTCCTCTTTTTTTGGGATGATAAGGCTGTTCAAGGGTCAGTATCTATGAAAAGGATTTATGTTTATGTCTTTTTCTGGAGGTAGAAAGGAAAAGACCAAGGTAGTTCTTAAAGATTTTTC